TTGAGCACGGCCATTGGATTGAGTAATTAGATTGCTTTCAGTGTAATTGCAACTTGTAGCATTTACCTCAAAACTCTATAATTAAACTAAAATATTGGCACAAGCATAAAAAAATATTAACGATCCTTTAGCAATGAAATGCCCATCCTAATGACCGGCCATAAATGAAATGATCCGTGTCCGAGCAGTGTTATTATTTTAATTGCAAACCTACGCTCTTCTTGGCAGGTTCTTCGTTTGCTTTTCTTCTATATTCCTGTTCGTCGCATGCTTTATTGTTGGGCTTTAATCGGTTGACCGGTAATTATTAGTTCCCATCCCGAATGTCACTGAAAACATTTACATTCCAGTGCACGTTTCCAATATGTTGTTGCTTCACTTCTGCTACTTTTTTCGACGGCACTGTTAAAGCAATAAACCAGGCAGATTGGGTTATTACTCTAACAGTAATCTGGGAAAGGTAATTATTTTCGCTGTGCATTGTGTATCGCTATAAAACATGAAAGCACGTGCTCTGTATATTATTAGGACTAGAAACCGTTGGGAATTGATGAAAAACTCGCACTATTTTCGACGCATTCAGCCGCAAACTTCGAGGGCAAAACGCTAAGGGCCGGGCACTGGGTGGTGGTGGAGATTTCTCCACCCGAAACTCTCTACAGTGTTGTTTTTTCCACTTTCCAGTTCCAGAAATAGCAGCAAGAGCGACCGCGAACTCTTTTCCATCGTTCGTTTTGCTGCTCTGTTGGAATTGAGTTAAAATAAACATAATCCGAAACTTGACGTCTGGAAATATCACGAACTTCTACTTCGCTGATCTATTAAATTTCAGTTTAGTCAGGAACAGTTATTGGACCCGAATGGGGCCCAAGCGATATCCATTTCTTGATTAGATTTCTACCTGTCGGGGGCGACAGACAGAAGAATCTTTTCCGAATCGGAACAGATTTGTTTCTTGCTTGCAGCTTTTCTTTAATCAAACTCTTGTTGTTAAAGCAACGCTTTCTGCTGCGAAACGTTGATAAAATCGTAAAAATCTATTATCTTTACAACAAAACGATCTGAATAACTTTACTTTCATGATCTCAGAATAATCTAAGCGTAATAATAGGATCCAAACTGTTGACTTGTTTAGAGACTCCACGCGGAAAGTAAACTTTATCCACGTTTCACATTGTTATACATTTTGAGCTTTGAAGAGCCCAAATGAAAATCAACCACAAAAGCGCTGTAGCGCAAGTTCACAGTTGGTCAAATGACCATTGAACTACCTAAAAAAGAGAAAAACTTACCAAAAAACTATATAATTTTATTTTATATCAAATGATTTTACGCAATCAATTTTTAAACAGTTAGAGGCTGAAGTTCCTGAGTGTTGAAGAGGGAAATCGCAGCTCAATTTGTGCAATGTTTGTCAAAGGATCTCCCGCGATACTCTGTCAAGCTCTAATTCGACTCGGGCCTTCTAAGGGTTATCAATTTTTCAAGATTTGAAACTTTGGAGCCTCTAAAGGTACTGAGCTTGTTCTGGGTTCGGAGTTAGCTTCAAATGCGCTTTTTTCACGCTGTTTATTAAAAATTCATCAAACTTTTTACTGTGGTTTGGCGAATTGTTATCCACAATTCAAGAAGTAATTTGCCTTCGATTTTTTAAGTAAAGTTTTTCCTGTCTTATTTTCTCACATTTTTACTTTAATTTGATGTTTGTTTCAGCCAGTTTGCAGGAAGTTATTTTTTGTTCATATTTGCGTGGTTTTAAAAAAATATATATTTGCGTGGTTTCTTCTGTTCTTCCAATGTGGTTATGATTAGGTGGTTTTTTTCATTTCCCATGTAGCCAATTTATGGCAATATTTTGCCCTTTTTGTCTTTCTGTTGCAATCGAGCAGTTTTTCACTGTTTTCATCAAATTTTTGTTAAATTGGAATCGATAATTTTTTCTTTATTTTTGCATTTTTTTACCCATTGTTCCAGAAGTAATTTTGTTGATTTCCTCGCTGTTCTTAAACTGCGTCTTAATTATGTGTTTTTTAATAAATATTAAGGCAATTTCTTTTTTTGAATAAAAAGTCGCTCGAATCCTCTCAACTGCATTGTATGAAAAATACGTGTTTAGTGCGGTATTTGAGTCTCACGTTGAGCCGTTTGATCAGCTAGTTTTTATAAGCAAATCATGCCCTTAAATAAGACATAAATTAATGAAATTTTCGTGGAATCTGTCATGCTCTTAAAGTGTTAGTTAGTGTGATATAAATGGAAATATCCAGAAACCGTGGCATAAATGAGGATTTATGAGAAAATCACCCACTCGATTGTTAAAAGATGTTAAGTAATTATCCAGATGTTTGAGACAAAACAAAAAATATTGTTTACATAAGTTGAGGCGGCACTCTTTTTCCAAAGGCCTCGTTAACAATGCTTTGGAAATTTACATATGTTGCCCGTTTTACATCGTTTTTCCAGATGGGCGTTTATTAGACAAACTTTTAGGGACAAACGTGCAGTTTTATTGAGCGTTAATTCGGGAAGAAAACCTTTTTTACGATTGGCTTCTCAATAAGCCCTCGAAGAATCGCGTTTAATTGCTTCTAGGGCACAATGGTGTTCTTGTAGGTTGGCGATGTTCTATAAAATATGGAACGTTCAACGGCCGTTTTACCACTTGCATACGTGGTAAGCCCACGTCTTTGGCCGCAATAAAAACGTGGAAATGTGCCGTGTTATGAATAGAGTCTTTTGTAAATATGTATCTATAAATTACCGCTGTGCAGTAGTTGAGGCTTTATGAACGGTGGCAGTTTTAGTGCGCTTCCTTTTGAGATAAGACGTCATGAATAAATAACACCTTAAAAGCAATGCCTTCCTGCATTGTGTGCAATTTGCCACGATCATCCTTCAAATGCTGTTTGCGTTCTGCACCACCACCACTATTATTATTATTAAAGGCTGAATGCCCATTGTGCTTAAGATAATTATATCGAAGCCGGTAACTTGAAACCACAACACCTGCAATTAGATCCAAAAGCATTCTTCGGCCCCGAAACCACCTACTCGCTGCCTGGCTGGGACATTCGAGACCACATTTCCGTTTCTGGTTAGTTTGGGACCTGAACTTTCCCAGGAAAAATCCGTTTTATTGCCTGCAAGTACATCATACGAACAGCTTTATTAAACAAACATAACTCGCGCTTGATTTATCGCCAACAGTAAACCCGTACGGGATCCAATCAGCTTTGAGTGGCAATCGTAATTATTTATGTTGTTCTTTGCCCCGTTAAAATTGATTAAAGCCAATTATATCACAGTCTTTTTAAAAATTTAAATTTGTTTCCAGCAGCAAATGTGAGGGATGAAGTTTCCGCAAACTCAGCAAGTGATTAAAGTTTCAGTAATTTGGACAGGCAATTTCACTTCTCTTAAGTTTTTCTTGAAATGTGTTTCCAACCAGTTTTATTACCACCTGAAAAAACTGCGATAGGGATTTTTTTAGATCGACGAATTTCCTTGTAGTTTCTTGAGTCTGTCAGTTTCAATAAATATCGCTCCTTCTTTGGAATTAATTAAATTTAGTCACTCTTTACGAGAGGTTGTGGGTTGCTTTAGGGAGAAAAAGTAATAATGAAGAATGATAAACAACTAAAAGCTCTTCACTTTGAGCTTTGGTATCATTGGTCGGCGTTCTGAGTAGTTTTTCATGCTTAAAATTCTTCAGCGACATCAGAGCGTTTTTTGCCTCAATTTCCATCCACATTCCGGAATATTGTGTCTGGTTTACCTAGAAATTTTACTTTGAAAATATTGTTGTTTTTTAAAATTTTCAGGTTAAAAACCCAGTTTCAACACCAGTAGGTGGGTATGGTGAGCCATGAATTGAACAAACAGCGTTTTGATCAAATTAAAAATTTCCTGCACAGTTTTCTGATGTTTTACGCAAGTTAAACCCTTTTTTGACTCTAAAAGGTCGTATTTCAAATTGAGTTTTATGTATTTCAATTTTAAGTACAATAACTCAAATTTGGAATGCTGTTCGAGCAACTGGCTTTTTGAAAACTTCGTTAAGCTGTAATTGCTACTGACTGCGCCAATTTGATCAAAGAAGTCCGTTTTCCAATTGTGTTAACTGACCCAAATTTACACTGCATAAACATTCGCATCAAATATAAAAAAAATATCGTATCTATCACTTTAAACTATCAATTTTAAAAGAACTTTGGATAAATTGCGAAGGAAAGCAGATCGATAGAGCGGAAAAAAAGTTGTGAAGCTCCCAGGACGACGACACGCTGACAAGTTTAAAGACCACATGGAGTCGAGGCTTAAATAATGTTTCTGGATCGGCAATGATTTATTCAGAACGCACCATCAATCATTGTAACAACATATTTAGGAATACGATTTTTTCCGTTCGGGATTCTTTAGTCGTTTATTTTCGGTTGATGCTGGAAGCCAGATCGACGAGGCAGATTTGGGCGACGAGATTCAGGCGTCATTAGAACGCACGGATTTTACCAGACAAATTTGCAAAATCCTACCGACTGCTCCAATTAGCCAGAACTAAGCCAATTAATTGGGCACCATCAGGCTGTAAAAATCAAGGAAAAACCCCAAAATATCGACTTCTAATACCTAGTAACTCGATCTAGACCAAGACACCCGATACCCAGAGTTCCTTAACGGCACATTAGCCTCTCGAGTGTTGATGTTATTACTTTTAACTGCCCAGTAATGATCGGCTGTGCTCGAAAACTCCATAATGAGATACAGCTGGGTCGCTTTGACTTTGTGTGAATCAAGTTGCGCAAAGAGATTTCCGTTTGTTATTTTATTCCATTCCATTCTGTTTCATCGGCTTTAATAACCCTGAACTGGCCCTGACAATTCTAAAGTAATAATCACTGTATCACGCCACCCTTGAAGCTCCCATAGGACCCGAAAAAAAATAATTTGAAACTGATCTCATAGCTGAACTTCCCACGTGAAACTTGTCTCTTATGTTCCAGATCAGTCAGTTAACGAGAGGGCGGCCCTCATTCAAGACATGTGACAGAAAGACAGGCGAACGTCAGCCTGGAGCAGCCCCTGAGGGACCCCCTGCAAATATGTCGCCTTCAAGCTCCCTCCTGCAGCTCAGAACGTTAATAATGGTGCTGTTCGTAGGGGCGGTGGGTGCCAACCAAGGTGAGTGTCTTATTAAAAATTCAAGCGACTTCTTGCCCTTATGTTATGTGTTAATGTTGAGAGGGTGACAATTTTGGGTAAGCGGATTTCGAACGTTTATATTCAGCTTGGGGGTGAAGGCTTTGAAGTGGCGGCAGGATTTTTTTTGAGGTGGGGAAGCGGCCGGAGTAAAATGCAATTTTGTACTCAACATTGCGTATTTTGTAAAAAACAGTGATTTACTTGTTCTACTTCGGGAAAAAATGGGCGAGCTCTCAAAATTGAGGCATAAACCATCAAACGTGGATTTTGAAGGTCTGAAGTCACTCGTGCAACGATTTTTTGGCTCAAAAATTGCCTTTTTGGATTTTCAATGGACTGGCTGGAAAGTCATTCCATCACAGTGTACCGATTAGAGTGCATGTTGTCTCTGATATGCACAATGGCGATATTAAATTTCCGAGTTAGTTCTGAATAGGGTCAGCAGACTAAAAACGGCATTCTGCCCGGATCAAAAAGGACCTTTTGTTGCTTTGAGCGCTCGGATCCTATCGGATCGGATAAAACGCATATTTTAGTTGTACCTACGGGGATGCAAATGGCATTATCTGGCGATGCGGATCAAAGTATTTTAAATGGAATGAGGGTAATGTGCTTAAAATTTGGCTGGCAGCCCTTGAAAACTGCCGATTTGGGCACATTTTTTCCGGGTCGGGGAAAGAAGGAAACGCACATCTTGGGCGTGGTTTTCGCTTCAGACAATGACGTCACTGCCAAATAACTTGGGACAGACTTGATCCAAGCTTTTAATTAGTGGCAACAGCAAATGAATGCATAAATAGAGCCTTCCGGACAAGCATGGGCCCCAGTATCTTGATTGTGATAGCGCAACAGATTTATCGCGAGCCATTTTTAGAACGGGAAAGCCACTTAATTTGTCGCATACGCCGGCATGATTTACGTTTTTGTTGAAGTTTTTAAATGGAAATTCCCATCTCAACGGTCTTTTAATCAGGCCCAGAAACTCTCGCAGATGATTTAGGTGGATCGCGAGTTAATTAGGCCTAAATCGTTCGTTTTATTGCTCGCACTATCGGATGCCATTGAAAATTGTCAAATATATTCGGTGCGTGCATTTACAAAAATAAAACGGTTTACGACCCGAAGACTTTATGGGTTTTCGGGTGAAAGCGACGGAAGTACGGTCGCCACAAAAAGGCCCTCCGATCGCTAACTTGCTCAACAACAGTGCAACAAAAAGGCAATAAAAAGAAAATAAAACGGGTTTTATTGCGTAAGTTATTAATAAGCGCTCGTCAGTGCGAGTGAGACACTGGGCCTCGATTGGGAACGTGGCTTAATCAGCTGAGGCCCGCTCCAAACTCGAGATTTTAACAATAAATTAGAAAACGTGCTTTGATTTTGTTCGGTGTCTTCATTCGGAGATTTTGCATAACACGGGGGATGAATGGGAAATGCTGAGATGAGGGTTTAGGGCAGCGATTCGGAACAAGAGCGATTAAGAATAAACGACCGCTCAATGCAAAACGTCGGCCAAACAGTCAGTTTTCCTGAAAACACGAAAATGAAGCAAACATTTCCACTTAATGCTTGAAAAGTAATTGTAGAAAACTTCATCTCTTCAGGAAAATTAACCCCGGGGACTTGCTAAGAAAAACTGCTAAATATTCGTTTCAAATTCTGTTGGTTTGAGAGAAGTAATGTTGAAAGTTGACTTTGAAACTTGAAAATCCTCGCTGCTTGGTACTCAATAGTCCAGAAATTGAAGAAATATTTGCCTGAGATTGAAAGAGCCCACTTGAAAAGTCGTCTACTGACAATTTCCAAAATTGCAGGACTTACTTTAGGCAAAAGCGTCGTTTTTGTGCGATTATAAAAGCGACTTCAAAATGTTCAAAATCGGCGATAAAAAGTGAAAACTCCGCCCATATTTCTCGACAGACTTTTTCAAGGAATTTTTAAAGTAAAAACAACCGCTAAAAAGCCTAGAGTTAAGACGACTTTAAACGTGTAATCAGTTGCGGTAAAATGCCGAAAACTAAGTGAAATTGAGCAAAGTTTCAGTTCGCATTCGATCGGCAGACTAATGAATGAATAAACTGCGCAAAAAGTGTCAAATCCAATATCCGTAATAACCATTTAGCGAAACGGGCATTAGAAAACGGTTCGAACAAACGCCTCTTACGTTTCATTAGTGCCGATATTAGCGTAATCGTGCCGGCACATTTAATACGTGCATCCTAATGGGTCGCAATTAATTAATAATTTAAAGGATTAAATGGGTAAAAAGTTGATGGGCTGTAACTGGTTTTCGGATCGCCACCAAACCCGAAAGGCTTGTGCGCCACGAAGAAATGAAATATGAACGATGATGCTCGTGGGAAATACACGTTTGATTTATCTCGCTCATTTGTACGGGAAATTACTTCATGTATTATGGAATTAATGTGTCGCTTTGGGGCCCCGATTCAACTGAATAGTCATTACTGGCACAGTGACTTCAAATGTTACTTTGCGAAAGAGTTTGGATCCAGAGAGCGGAGCGCAGAGGAATGGGCATCGCACATCTTCCAAAGGCTCGGCCGTTTATTGTCGGACGGGCCTTTTCCCCTGATTGGATCTGTCGGTGTAATTAGGAAAGTGGATGCCAGATGGACGGGGGTCAGAATTTAGTGGAAATCGTCCTATTAGCGGTCGATTTCGACTAAATTCCGTACTAAAATGGACTGCCAGAACTCGAAAGTCAACCTTATTCATTAGATTTTTGTCAACAAAGTCGCTGACTCTTTAAGAGCGTTTTTGTCGCAAGCTAGAGTGTAGTGGAATGTTTAAACTACACTGTAGCTTTGTATTTGACCGATAGTTTTCAAATGAAGAGTTTTTCGTTGTCCGATGACTATAACTTGAAAGGGATTTTTCTTGGCGTAGCGGACAAATAATTTTTTGGAATAAGAAAAATTATTTGTCCGCTACGCCAAGAAAAATCTCTTTCAAGTTTTTTAACTCAACTTTGGAAAAAAGCGCAAGTAAAAATTGTTGGAAAAAAAATTTGAAGCCTTTCCAATAAATTTGAAAGGGAATGCTATCGACTCGAACTCCAATTAACTAAAGGACTGAGTTGGAAAGGGCGTAATTCACAATTTAAAGTTAAACAAAACTTGACGTTGCCCCTACACTATGGCCATCATTTCCCCGGGCCAGCAAAGTGCTAAACGTTTCAATGCGGATCTAATTATCCGGAAGAAGGCACTTTTGAGCCGGGAAATTGTTTTCGGCAACGTCTAATTTGCCCGAATGACCTGTTGAGATGCTGCAGCGCTACTTAAAATGGCTCAGAGCCGGAAATGAGCAGCTCCTTTGTTTCGCGTGCTAAAAAAATGATTACTGCTAACTCTAAAAGGCTGATCTCCCTCTAGGATTTTCCTATGGCGTTAATCATAACTTCCGGACGGTACGTGATGGAATGGCCCATTGCGAAGCATCACATTACCAAATTGGAAAAGGGGAGCATCCGGCCGCCCCCGCTGTTACTCATAAAGGGGCGACAGCCTCTCGATATGAGGCAGCGGCTATTTCGATATGCAAAATCCAGTTTCTTAAAAGGCAAGTTTTAATGAGGCCCCGAGACGCAGTGAATTAACGAATGACACGACTCTTTTTTTGCATCGTTCCCCGAACTGGAATAAAGCCGAAACGGCACAGCTTAAGATCGATGATTTATTGCGACTTTAGCCGGGCTCCAAAAATATTTTGATGTCTTTATTAATCTCGAACGGGTTTTAATTCGTTTTTTACGGCTTGCCACTCGCAAAAAACGAAACGAAAAGTATGGGGGTCGGAATTGCTAAGTCATTAGTTTGGAACACTGCCGTTGCCCAAAGCGAGCAACTTTCAACAAATTCATCAGATAAACGAAAATGGAAACTGCCCCGAAGAATACTTGGGCATGATAATCAGATTCTTAACTTTTCAGAAAATACGGTTTTTTGAGGCAAAAAATCAAGCTGGAATGGCTGATATTGAAAAAACAACGAGAACACTTTAAGTTTTTTTCAAATCTTGTCTAAGGTTTTATGAAGAAAGGCCACAGACGACTAGTCAATTTCAGATGAGGTGCTTAATCGAGTGATTTTTCAGGCTCTGATAAAGTCTGTACACAACTGAAAAATATATATATTTCTTCAAAATCTCGAACAGAAAACATTCGATTTTCCAAAGTCGAGTTTCACACTTTCTTTGCATGACAATTATAAAGCGACCATTAGGCTTTGGAGTCAAGTGTTGAGAAAAAGTGTGCATTCTAAGGTGTTTAATTGACGTGTTAAATTACAGTGACGTAGATCAGCGCGTTTTGGAGTTATCGGCCAAAATCATGCAAAATGACAGTTTTTTGTCGTTTGCTGAAAAAAAACTGGAAAATTTCAAAAAGTATCTTAAGAAAAAGTGTGCATTCTGAGGTCTTTTACTGACGTGTCACAATGCGTTGATGAGTTGCGTAGATGAGCGCGTTTTGGAGTTATGGACAAAAAGCCATGAAAAACTACAGTTTTTGGCTGTTTGCTGGGAAAAAACTTGAAAATTTCAAAAAGTGTTCAGAAAAAGTGTGCATTCTGAGTTGTTTTATTAACGAACCGTTGAACCACAGTTGCGTAGATGAGCGCATTACGGAGTTAGACGCAAAAGATCAGGCAAAATTACATTTTTTTGACGGTTGCTGAAAAAATAGTGGAAAATTCCAAAAAGTGTCTTAAGAACAAGTTTGTATTCTAAAGCGTTTTATTGACGTCTCGAATTACAGTGGCGTCCATGAGCGCGTTTTGGAGTTATGGGCAAAAATCATGCAAAATGACAATTTTTTGTCGGTTGTTGAAAAAAAACCTGTTAAATTCCAAAAAGTGTCTGCAGAAAAAGTTTGTTTTTGACGTTTTCTGAAAAAAAACCTGTTAAATTCCAAAGTGTCTTAAGAAAAAGTTTGTATTCTGAAGTGTTTTATTTACGTC